CCTCCGCTGGACTCTCTCCAGTAGCTCCTCATCTTTCTTGAACTGGGGAGCCCAGAACTGGACAGGTAGTCCAGATGGGGCCTCACCAGGGCAGTGTAGACGGGAAGGAGAACCTCCCTTGACCTGCTGGCCACACTCTTGATGCATCCCAGGATCCCATTAGCTTTCCTGGCAGCCAGGGCACACTGCTGGCTCATGGTCAACCTGTCGTCCACCAGTCCCGTGCTCCAGAGGTAACAAGGCCAGTAAAAAAAAAACAAAAACCCCAAGAAAACTTTTCTCCCCCCTGTTAAAATGGAAGGAGATGAACGGAGGGCCTGCTCATCCGCTTCCTCAGCCGGGGCTGCCCCTCCGGAGGTAACTCCTTCACTGCCTTCGGGCAGCCTCTGGAGCAAGACGTGGGCTTTGAGCACTGCGTGCGGGGTTCAAATTCGGATCATGGAGCTCCCCGAATGGCTGAAGCCTCCCTTCTGGGAGAGAAGGGACGCTGACGTCTCCCAGAGGAATCTCCCAAGTGCGTGTCAGTGTCCGTATGGCCGTCTTGCTTGGTTGGCACAGGTGTGCTGAAGACGGGGTGATAACTCCGCAGTTATTTATACACACGCTTCACCTAACTCTGCTTTCCTTTCTGCCACTCGAGCCAGTTTTGCAGAGAATGGCGTAGCAGAGCTCGTGCTAAAACCCAAAATGTTGCATCGACTGGAAGCCCCCTGTGAAACAAGCTCATGGAGAAGCCAGAAGTTCACAACAGCTTCCCGCTGCTGTGGGTGTTTCTTCCTCCCATCGCCTTTGACTCCGCGAACACCAGCAGAAGCATCCCTGCTCCTCAGCTCCCAGCTCCACACAGCACCCACCCCGCCCCACACAGCACCCGCGCCTCGGGGTCCCCTTCTCTGCTCCCCCCCAACCTGCCGCCGCTTGCCCCGGTGGTCCCCAGCCTTGGGGTGCCCCCGTCCCACCCAGGGCTGGGGCTTCCCCAGGAAACCCCGGGAGCCTCCCGTTTTCAGGCAGACCTCAGCAGCTGCCTCTGGGAAGGAGGGCATCTGCTCTTCCCTGCAAAAATGCCAAGTATGCATTTTTTTTTACCCTTTTCCACTACAAAACGCTTATTCTGTGCCCGTTCCCCCATCCCCCCC